CGGGACGGGGCGGCGAGCGCCGCGGAGCATGCCCAGTGTGACCGCGCTTCTCTCCGGGAGCTGAGCCGGCTTCGGCCTCGGCGCAGAGATCCGGCAGAGGTAGGGCAGGCTGGGGCCGAGTGAAGCTGCGCTGAGCAGGATCGCTGACTGCTCTCTGGTCCGGTGGATCTGACTGCTCACTGGTCTCAGTGGCCGGTCAGTGCCTCGGGAGTCCCAGGGGCAAGGCCTTGCGGCGAGGGACACCTATCCTGCCTCCGTCCCTGGCTTTCTTCGCAGTGGTTTGCATTCCCTGCCCTGCGCTGTGGTCAGATTACAGTGTTTCGCTAGGATTTGTCTGCAACAGTCTAACCTAGGTGGTGTACCTCTCCCCCCCACGGTGTCCTCAAGATGTCAGTCTTTGCACCAAGAACAACCCCCTATTGTGTGTCCCGCGTGGGTCACCTCGTCGGGCTCGGGTTCCCTGCCCCACCTCCTGCTTCTCAGGCAGCTGGGTTCCTTTGCCCGAAAGATGAACGCTCCCAGCCAAGCATGATGATTGTGCATACGGGGCGTGTACACACACGTCTCCCCTGAGTTTCCAGGGCCCAGAAGACAACCCTGGGTGAACAAAGTGGATCTCCATGAATAGGGCGCACCCCACGCGCACCCCTCTACTGCCGGGTAATGAGCCCGGCAGCTCCCCGCAGCGGCGGGTCTACCGGATCAGTCAACCTCCGTCTCGAAGGGACTGTCTCCCATCCCCTTTGCAGCCTCTATGGAAACCCGGCCAGAATTAGATCGCTGTGGCCAGGTGCTGCCCCAGCCGGACCGTACACGGTCCGGGACCCGGTTACTGGCCCGGGGTGTGCAGTATGGAACGGTCGGAAGCTGCAGCTAGCGAGTGGGCGGGGCGAGCAGGCCTGGGAGGGCTCAAAGGCGAGGTGGAAGGATACACGAGCCACGGCCGGAACTACTTTCAGGAGGAGGTCACGTGTGGTCCTAGTTGGGGAACTTTCCAAATTCCCATTCCCGTATCTGTGTGCTCCTGAGGCAAGAGCTTGGACCCCTCTGCTCTATTAGATGGTCACTCCAGGTGGGGGCGGCTGGACCCCAGCTCTCCCCGGTCGGAGCGGAGAAATGCACCCACGAGCGGTCCGCAGGAGCGCTGTCAGGGCCAAGCGCCTGGGGAGCTGGTTACACAAGCACCCACATCCAAGCACGTGCCCCCGCCACCCCTCTCTGTTGGCTGCCGCCGGTTTGTGTACGGTGACGGGGAGAGTCCCCAGCCTGTTCCTCCCTTTCGCTTGCAACCCATAGAGCGAGCCAGAAGGCCGAGACACGAGACTCCTGCTCTGGATCTACCCACCCCGCGCGTTCCCAAGCGTGGGAGAAGAGGCTGGGCCTTAGGGGGTCTGACGCATCTCCTTAGCTAATGCAGTGGACCCTCTCTAGATCTGTACTCGCGGGGCAAAAGGGTATCTCCTGTTGCCGCTGGCTGCCTGAGCTTACCGATGTTGCAACAAACTTCCAGTCACTGCCCCTGAACTGGTGAGCGCGCCCCACCTACTGTAGACTCAGCCAAGTGACTTATCTGAGCACCTAGTCAATGGCTGTCCGCCCAGAACAAACCTGTCAAGTAGAAGCTTACTGCTGGGATTGGCTGACCTGTCGCGGTCGAGAGAGCTGGTTCAGAAGTGCTGATAACTAAGGGCAAGCCCCTCCTCCCCGACCAGCCAGCCACAAAACAAGCGATCACCTTGAGCTTGGAGAAAAATGACATCAGCACCAACGCTGGGATTTCTTCCTTTTTGTTCTTTTCCCAGAGGACTTAGTTCTCAGGGTAACAATTCGAGTCCGAAAGCATCTGATTTGAGACCTAAGCTAAGGCACTGGGTCGCTTCAGAAATCTGGAGATTAGTAATCAATTATCATGGGTATTGCAGTAATTGCGACTAGGTGTCTAGAAAGGCCAGCAGAGGGTTTATGAAGTATAGGAGAAAGAAAATTGCGTATGTGCACAGCATAGTTGCAGGCAGCTCCTGAAGCCTAGAAACCTCAAGAGGCCTGGCTCAGAGAGCCATGGGCCATTACCTAACTCCAAGACTGCTAATTAAACCAGGGATATTTACAGTTCTATTAGCGATCTCTGAGGCTACTCAAAGCTTGTATTTAGATGCATCCTTTTAAGATCTCTCTGCAGGAGTTAGCAGCTCAAGCTAAGCAAGCATTGATGTTTATTGCAGGCTGTTTTTGTGCACAGTTCTTCTGGTCAGTTGGGGGAGGCAGGGAATACAGATGAGGGCAATTTGAAAACAATAGAAGAAAGGCCTGCATTTGGTTTCTAAAGATGTAAATAAATCTCACTCACACAGCCTACTCTAAGATGGAGCTCTGTTTTAGATGCAACCCCCAAAGTCAAGGTGTTACATGAGATGCATAGTTAAAAACCTAAATTGTGCCCAGTGGAGTGTCTACTACTCATTGGTGGGAAAAATAAGAATGAAGTTACATCAAGAGAAGTAGGTTGAGGAGGGGAAAATACCTCACGTTAGTGCTTGTCCCCAGAGTCCCCGTTACTAGCATCACCCTATTTTGCCTCTTCCCCGGAGCCATCTTGTGTGACATAATCTAAGAGTGTCTAAGCCACTCTGAAAGCTTCCTCTAAAGACAGGCAAAGGCTTTTATTCCTAAGCTTCCTGATGCTGGGCTGGAGGAAAGGGGACACTTTTCTGTTTCCAGAACATCACTCTAGAGCACAGGGGAGGAACATCACAGCATTGAAGTGCTGGAACATGACACCAGCCCACAGGCACTTCCAAGTGAGGGAAGAAGCCGGAAACCAGTCAGCTGCTTCCCTGAACCCAGGTTCCTCTACTCTCTAGTGGTTAATGAATAGATAACCATGTTGGCTGGTGTATGGTCAGGCTGGCAACGTCAGATTTTGTTCGGAGTTTCCTCTCACAGTATAATATGTTTCTGAAAGAAATACTGATGTAGCCTTTTTTAAATGTTGGTGTTTTTCGCTTTTTTACTCCATTCAAGGGATATGAATAGACGAGGAGGGGAAAAGCTCAGATAGCAATAAAAAAAATTTAAGTTCAGATGAAAATAGATCTGCTTGGCTGACCTGATACTACAATACAATGGTTAGCAAGCACTTCATTTTCTTACCTGTCTGGATTCAAAACACCCCAGGGAGAAACAGAAGCTTATAACAAAGGAGGAATTATACAAAGCTCCAGGGAGACTAACTTTATAGAATAATTAGGGAGTATGATAAACCAGCTTTAATTATAGTTTCTAACAGCTGATTCCAAAACTGTAGTGTTACTACACGTAAAAGATGTACAAAGAAAAGTCTTTCTTGGTTTCTTTGATAAGTGGGTCACCAAGAACTAGATGTGGATAACATAAATAGTTAATGCACTGTCGTAGGTTCTGCACTAAAACATGTTGTATGTGAGCACTCCATTGCCCTAGTGCCTTTCTCCTTTCCCACACTCTGACCCTTCAGCCAGAGAGTTAAGTCAAGTGCTTTAATTTTTAAGCAAGCGTCTCTATTTTTACCTAAAAAGCATTTTCTAAATAATAGGAAATAATGAATTAGGTAACAGATAATTGGCTTTGAATTTAAACTGGTCTGTTCTTCTATGGTTCTGTGAAGTCTTTCCTCTTATCTAGTCTATTATTGTTTATTTAGATTTTTACATTTACATTTATTGATTGTGCAAGCTTGCACCAGATACACAGCCATGGCACACTGGTGCATGTCAGAGGACAACTTGCAAGAGTCGGCTCTCTCTCCTTTCACCACACACCTTCCGGGGATCTAGCTCAGGTTGTCGGGTTGGATGGAGCACACCTTTACCCACTGAGCCATCTTACCACTCCCATTAAGGTTCTTTTAAGCACAGTGTTCTCAGCCTTTCTCCAGAAGGCACTCCAGTGACCCACACACATACGGTATTCTAGGAGAAAATCCCGAATTACTGTCTGTAAGCTCTCCATACCCTAAAACTTTTGCAAATGGCTGTCACCTTTCCTGTCTCAGGAAAGAGATATCCTGGTATGAAATCATTAGTCTCAGACGAGCAGAGGCTGAACTGGGTATTCCCCGGGGTACCAGGGAGCAGACCAGACCATGTTACTGTGTCCACTGGCACATAGGAATTATCACTCAGGGGGTAGTGACACAAAACAACTTTATTTCCATTAGCTTTGACTGCTTGATCTTCTACTTTGGTCTTAACTCTCGTTCTAACCCTATGGAACATAGTTAGTTGTTTTAGCACTTCTAATAATAGAAACTAAATGTTTCAGGATAGCCTGCGTGTGTCTAGGTTTAGGAGGGGCATTGAGATGGAATCAATATGGACAGAGCTGCTAGATAATCAACTCCTTTGGAGGGCGAGTGCCTTTTTTGAAAGAGAAAACACACAAAACCTGCTTAAAGCATCCTCATGGTAACAGGGGGCCTAATCTCTGTTCTTGTAATGATTCAGTCAACAAACACTTGGAACTTTTATGTGCTCCTATGGTTTTCAACTGTATGAGTAGAGAGAGGTGCCTGGACAGCTTTGGGGGCTTGAATCCTTGAACTGAAACTATTGCAACCTCCTCACAGCCCACATGGTCAAGTGAACGACTGTGATGCTTGATAACTGGTTCAATTATCTATTGCTTCACAGCAAATCACAGTAAAACCCAGGAACGTGAAGGGACCATCTTTGCTTTCCCACAATTCTTGGGGAAGGGTATGGCTGGGCAATTCTTTTCCCCACTGATGAGATCAAGGGACAGTTGTGGTCTAGTCCGTGGTGAGGTTGGCTGGATCTGGAATGTCCAGTGTAGTTTCACCTATGTATCCAGGAACTCAGTTGAGAGACCCAAACTCATGGAGGGCCTCCCTGACTTCATGGGGTGGCTCCAAAGCTGAGCTATCAAGAAGAGCGTGGGTACAGTTTCCCATTTTGCAGCTGTCTCGATCTTTATTTCAAGGGCATATTATAAAGTTGACTCCTTACACTGAGACTCTTCATTAATAAGGAGACACTCGTAGGCCCCTATATTTTCTAGAAAACCTGATGTCTGTTTGGGAGTCTGGTTCTTATTTATTACAGGCTGGTCTTGAACTCACTGTAGCTGACAATGGCCTTTCACTTTTGATCCTCCTGCCATGTTTGTGTGTGTGTGTGTGTGTGTGTATTTATCTAAATACACAGAAAATATCTGAGAAATAAACAAAACTGAAAAAGAGGGGAAAGCATTTCAGAAAGAGAGACTGATGTCTTCTTATTTGTTATTTGTTTCTTTGTGTGTTGAAGGCTTTTTTGGGTTTTTTGTTTTGTTTAATTGTTACAGTTTTCGAGACATCTGTATCCCTGGCTGTCCTGGAACTTGCTCTGAAGAGAAGGCTGGAATTAAAGTTTTTCTTTACAGTTATTATTTTTGTTTTCATAGAACAAAAAAGTGATTTTACCCAATATAATTAAAGTTAAAAATAAATGTTTATTATCAAAAGAATATCAAATAACCAAAGAGGGAGGTCAGCTCTAGTTTCATTTTTTTTAAAAGATTTATTTATTATGTATACAGTATTCTCAGTATTCCTTCTGCAAGTATGCCTGCAGGCCAGAAGAGGGCACCAGATCTCATTACAGATGGTTGTGAGTCACCACGTGGTTGCTGGGAATTGAACTCAAGACCTTTGGAAGAGCAGGCAGTGCTCTTAACCACTGAGCTATCTCTCCAGCCCTCTAGTTTCATTTTTAAATAAATGAGCTCACTAAGAAATTTCTAGCATTTAGGCCTAAAGAGCTACTCAGTGTCTGCCATAAAGGATATCTGGAAGAAATGCTATGTACCACAAAGATGCTGTGTGCTATAGAGATGCCATGTGCTATAGGGATGCTGTGTGCTACAAGGATTCTGTGTGCTATAGAGATGCTATGTCCCACAGAGATGCTGTGTGTTCCAGAGATGCTGTGTGATCCAGGGATGCTGTGTGGTACAGGGATGCTGTGTGGTACAGGGATGCTATGTGGTACAGGGATGTTGTGTGTTGTGTGGTACGAGGATGCTGTGTGTCATACAAGCTCTGTCTCAGTCCAAGTATCCTCTCTTCCCTGAATTAACTGCTTCAACTATATCTATTTTTCAACCTGTGTACTACTTAACAATGATCTGCTCAAAACATTTTTTTCCTCGCAAATAATTGTCTTTTCACAGCACCACAGACTTCTTCCATCCTACCTGGCAGAAGATTTCTCTGCAGTAGAAGGATGAAAGATCAAGAAGAAATTTCAAAGACCCCCTTACTCACCAAACTCATTGTACAAGCAAAGAAACTAGAACCAATGATTTACATGCTTCCATTACACAGAACATTATAGATGCTTAGGAGCCTGGGAAATGTCTTTAGTTAAACAAAAATGGGGCAAAGGCCTAGTTTTGTTTTATTTTTTTAACCTGAACACGTTAACACAGGGATATTGGGCTAGAGATGATTGTTCATGGCCTTTCCAGCCCTAGAATTGGACATAGAATATGGGGATGAGATGTGATTGGTGCTCACTGTCTGCCCTACATATCCTGAACTTAGTTCCAAAGATGAGGACCTTAAAAATCAAATGTGAAAGCCAGGCAGTAGTGGCTCAAGCCTTTAATCCCAGCACTTGGGAGGTAGAGGTAAACGTTTCTGTGAGCTCGGGGCCAGCCTGGACTACAGAACAAGTTCCAGGACAGCCAGGGCTGTTAACACAGAGAAACCCCATCTCAAAAAAAAAAAAAAAAAAAAAACAGAATCAAATGTGAAAACGTGAGTTGCCTCATGTTGCAAAGGATGACCATGGAAAGTATTTCCAAAATGGATGGAAAAGGCGCACATGAGTGAGGACTCAAAGGACTCAGAAAAGAAAAGGTCCTGGAAAGGACCTTCTTTAGGAAGAAAACCCAAACTTCACCAAAGGACAAAGGGAACACTGCCACCTGCTGAAGGAGACAAGGAGCATTGAGCACAGTCTCAGGCGGGAAGAAGGCTGAATTGCAGCTTTCAGCAGGCTCGTGCTAGGGTAAGACGGTAGCGGCCCTATTGTCCTACCCCCTTTCTTCCAGAATATTTAGGACTGTTTTTGTTTTATTCCCGCCCCAAGCCTAAATCTCACAATTCTAAGGTGTTTATTCAAGTATTACATGCACGTGGGTAGAAGTTTCCCGAGCTCACATTCCTCCTCAGAAACAGATCTCTTTTTCCAGTTTTTTCTTTACATTCCTTTCTTTGCTATTATGTTTAAGTAACCAACACATGGGCCCCTTTAATCCCGCACTTAGGGAGGCAGAGGCAAGTGGATCTCAGAGTTCCAGGCCAGCGTGGTCTACATAGTATGTTCTAGGACAGAATCGGGACTACATAGTGAGACCTTGTCTCAAAAGCAAACGACAAAAATCTTGCAAAGAAAATTTTCTTGTACAGAAAATGTACAAGAGAGAAGGCTGGAAGAAATTGCTGCTGTACCTTTTATCTGTCTTCTTTTTTCATCTACATCTCCACGCTCCTGTCTCATGACTTTTTTATCCTTCTATTTCAACATGCCATCATGCTGTGGTTTGGTGCGCTTTGATTTTCCTGTCATATGAATGGAATACCTTTTTGTTTCCTTGCTTGCTTGCTTGCTTGTTTTGAGACAGAGTTTTTCTATGTAGTCCTGGCTGTCCTAGAAATTGCTATGAAGACCAGCTTGGCCTCTAACTCACAGAGATCTACCTGTGATCTGCCTCTGCCTCCAAGTGCTGGTATCTTTAATTTTTTTTTTTTTTGACTGGTTTTGGCACCTAGTAATAGACCACATTTAGTTTCAAGATAACACTAAATAACAGTCAGAGGCAGCTATAGTCCTTTTCCAGTTAGGGTTTGGTTTTTTTTTTTTTTTTGTCTTGTTTTATTATTAAAAGAATGTGTCAAGATCCATAAATTAAGTTTGTGAGATACAGTTCTTCCACAGTAACTGTGGTTTCTGTGTCT